AACCTGCCCATAGATGCTATCACACTGATGCCTCTGTAGTTCCCGCATTTCTTCTTATCTCCCTTTTTATGTATCGAGGTTATATATGCTTTGGACCATTCATCTGGTATTTCGTTCAGGTTTATAGCGTTACTGAACATTTCGTGTATAATTCTGTGTAGTTTGTCCGTTCCGTACTTAATTAGTTCATTAACGATTCCTCCTGGTCCCCCTTATTTTTTGTTCTTTAAAGTCTATATGGCATTCTTTACTTCGATTAATGTTATCTCAATCTATTCTTCATTCTGATTTTGTTGTTGTTCCTGTTCTGTGTCTGTCTCTATGAAATTAGATAGTAGCTTCCCACTCTTTTTCTGATATGTATTGTATTTGGACCTTTTCGTTGTTATTTTTTCTTAAAGATTTCAGTATTTTCCAGAATTCCGAATTCCTTGTTTCTCCTATGTATTGTTTAATTTGTGCACATGTTTCTTCCCATTCTTTATTCTTTTCTTTTGCCCTTCTTCCTTTTACTTTTCTGTTTTTCTCTTTGTACTTCTGCGTGTCTTCTGGGGATTGGGTGCTTATACTTTTCATATATAGAATTTTCTTCTCCTAAATACATTTTTTGGTTTCTTTATTTATTTTTACTTTGTGTAGGGTATTTCTGTTCTCATGTTTCCCCAAAGCTTCTAGTGCCGCCTTTTTTATGCTATATTTGACGTGCTCGTACGTTTCTTTATCATATGCTTTGATATACATATACAATAAATGCCTTACTTTTTTTATTTGGGAGGATATCTCTTTAACTCTCATGAGATAAGTGATTATCTCCATATTATTTGTGTACTTAAAGTTATTATTAATGTTCTCTGAAATGATGTTAAATCGAAGTTTGACTATATTGCACTATGGATGTCAGCTATTTCTTTGTTACAGCAAAATCCACCAAATCTGGGTATTTTTTGGGGTCGACCTTTAGGCGTGATTAATTTGTAACCCCATATTGTGTGTTTGGCATTTCAGTCTCCTGCTACTATGAGGTTGGATACAAGAGCTTGTATGAAATCATGATACTTTTCACTTGAAATGGGATGTCTAGGTGGGCTGTAGACTGATGTTACACTGAGAAAGGTGTTTGTTTTGATTTTAATGATTGCTGCTTGGATTTTTTCCATAATATAAGGTTGGATTGCATTAATGTTTAATTTTTGATTTAATAAACACAGTATGTGCTTCTCTATCTGGATGGTTTGCATAATATACAATATGGTAAAATACCTATCTTAATAACCGTTCTTTGTATAGCATGGCTTTCAGACATGAATAGAATGTCTATATTACTCATTTTTATAAACAGTGATATCTATGAAATGTATTGTGTTATTTTGTTAATGACTGTAGTTCATGTATAACATGATTACATGTGTAACTCACTAATACGTCTATAGTCACCTATATTGTCTATAGTCTATAGTCACCTATATTGTGTCTCTAGTATATATTTTACTATAGTCATTCACATAAATCATTGGAGGGTGATTTTTATTCGTATCATTTACAGAGTTTTCCTGTGAAAATGACTGAAATATATTTGGGAGTGTAATTGGAGCTTCTTTTTCTTTCGAATTTTTACGTTTCATCCTTTCTATTTGATCTTATTGTTTGCCATAGATGTTTATTATTTTGAGAGACGTCCTTCATGTTCTTCATCTGACATCGAATCCTATTTATTCTATGTTTCTGGTTTGTTTATTAAGTTAGCTTAAGAGTTTGATGTACGATGCGGAAAATTGGTTTTTTGAGCAACTATTGGTTGTACCTGATATTGTTGTGATAATTATAAAAAGATATCATTTGGTTTACTGTTGGTTAATTTGAACAGAATGGTGGAGCTTAAGTATTTATTTGACTTAATTAATAATACGGGTGTATTAGGTTTTGTGTAGGCTTGTTCTGCATTACAGTTGGAAACTGCACTGTAGCGTTCTGAACATTGCTTAATCCTTGTCCGATCCCTGTTGGAAACATTTTCACTTCACTTAGAACTCAGTTTTATCTAACGTTGACTGGACTAACAAATTTATTTATTTACCAATAATCAATCTATCCACTAGGTGGACTAGCTGGAGCAAATGGCAAATGGCTCCAGCTAGTCCACCTTAGTCTAAGTGAGATGACATCCTCTGTCCAGGATATATAAACATGGACGGTATGTATGCACCTAAAGCACTCAAAGTGCAGACAATCGTAAGGTTTCTGCCTCTTTCCCACCTTTCCAGGTTTTTGGATCGTCGATATACCGGTTTCGCTCATATTAAATATTCTAGTAGACTTAAATTCTTAAATATTTCTTGTAAACTGCTTCCAAATTGAAAAAATAAATCAACTTTAGATTTGTTAAAGATTATTATAACTCTGTTCAGACTATTGCTAAGAGTTGTGTTAGGCTTAAGACAGCATTATTAAAATTATTTTTTATAAATAACATAATTAAATTATATTTAATTATGTTGGGTACCTTTATTAAATTTATGTTTTATGTCTAACTTTTCAGCAAGATCATACGCAAGTCTCCGTAAGTCAGTCAAAGTAATGTCATATAAATGGTTTGATATCATCAGCTATAATTTAGCTTCTTGTTCTGCTGAAAAGTAGGAATTTCCTTCCCAGTGCTGGTTTTTCGGTAGAATTTTTAACGGCAATACTTTTTACGAATATACACCTTTAACCAATTAAAATGCCCTTTAGCATCTCCCCGTTCCATTTGCTCCTTTCTGTTAGTAGTTTTCTCTTGATTTCACTATCTAAAACACATCAAAAGCTAACACATCTAAAACTTTGGTATCAAATAACTGTATATTTAATTTTAAAATAAATGCGGTAATTTGGTAAATAAACGCCCCAATTCCACAGACTTAACTGAATGTTAAAATGTAATATAAACTAAACTAAAATTATCTGTAAAATTTGCACTTTCTATTCGTCTAAGTGTTGTTTTATTAATATAATGTTTTATAGAGTTGCCTTGATTTGTAGACAAGTTAATAATTAGACCAAAACTAATACAACACATAACAATTCAGCATAAAATAATTAGTTTGGTTCGATGACAGAAACTAACTGTAAATAGTATATTACATATCGAGAGTTGTAAGAAGCTTATTACATGCGAGTAAAAAAGTTGCGCGCGAGCCGCGTAGCGGCGAGCGCAGTAATTTTACAAGCATGTAATAAGCTTACAACTCAAGTTATGTACCATACTTTTTCTACAATTATTTTCGTTTATAAAAATAAAAGTTAAATTACCACTATATTTACACTGACAGATTAATAATTTTTAATCTGTCAAAATAACGTCTGTTAATTCGTTTCCATGGTAACTCGACCAACTGACTAACCAGGCTTATGTTATATGCATCGAGCAAAAAGATAAAAGAGGGAATCTAATCGTTATGAAAAGGAGACCAAAAAAGTGGCCTCTGATGGCGGGCATATCCGGAAATGCAAAGGCGCTAAATTTAAATTTTCCAACACTTGTTAACAATAGCTGTAAAATATTTTTCAGACAAGAAAGTTTTAATTAAATATTAACGATAATAGTCTAAAAAGTGACACAATTGGTAAAAAACTTCAATATAAATAAAATTTCATGTGACAGTTGGGACAAACAATAACATAACCAAACTAAATTTGACTTCTTAAACAAGGAAAGAGATAGTCTATCCTTGTTTAAAGTGGCCTCTCAAGATAGCACTTCCTGTCTAACAATATTTTTGTCCCCACTACCTTTACATTCCCTCTTTTATCTTTTTGCTCGATGGTTATATGACACATTTTTATAAAACTGAAGCGTAATTATTTTTTTCTACTCTCTTACTAGTAAATTGTATATTACCTACTATTCGGATGCTAAGTAAATGCATCATAACAGATACTGACACGTAATGACTAGCACGTAATAAAAAAAATTACGCTTCAGTTTTATAAAAATGTGTAATATCACATAAGCCTCGTAAGTCAGTTGGTCGAGTTCCCATGGAAACGAATTAACAGACGTTATTTTGACAGATTAAAAATTATTAATCTGTCAGTGCAAATATAGTGGTAATTTAATTTTTCTTTTTATAAACGAAAAAAATCCGATTTTTCCAAATGTTACGTCATTTTTAAAAACTATAGTAATTTTAAATAAAACATATATTTTTTGACTTCATCAACACAATAAATTAATTATCTTTCATATGTTTTTAATATAATGTTTTTTTAAATGTTTGTTTTCAATAAATATGTTTATTTAATTAAACAATAAACGTACACTAACCTGGTATCGTCATTTTAAGGCGTTCTCGAGACATATGTAAATTTAAATGTTACAATGCATTCTGTACTGCCACCACGAAAACACCGTGAAGAATTCCGAAGTTATATAATAAAGTAGGAGTTGTGAAAGAGTAAACAATGTTGTTTCACCCAATTAGGACTATGTATCTAGCGCCATCTAGGATCACCGGCAAAGACGATAAAAAATTCTTATTTGTCGTCCTCAAACCCTATAGTGTAGTAATTTTTAATTTAATTTATGTCGGTTCATAAATACAAATTATTACAAATTGTTCATAATAATCTCATTTTCTATTAAAAGAACAAAGTTGATGGCAGCTAGTCGTGGATATGAATCACAGCTTTATAAAATTTGAAATCTGATGAATTCTAAGAGATAAATCTGGTGTGTTGTTTATGTGAAATATCCAGATATATCTGCGTTATTTTATTAAAATGTAATAAAATTAGTATCAATCGAAAGCGTTGGTACGTATCGAAGATATAATGCACACTAGATATTGTGGACATACATTTTATGGGCATACATTTTGAAAATCTTTAATATATCCGTTAAAATCAAAAATGTTTAAATAGGATAAACAAAATATCCGTTTAACCATTTATAACGAAGATTTATTTTCAAACATAAAGTAGAGTGTATTCTTTTCAATTTTGAAATATTTATTTATTTTTAGGTCACCACGGGCATTACAAATCATTACGTCACGGCAACCATAATCACAAAGCTGAAGTTAAACATCATGAAAGCCATCACCAGAAGCACGCTGAAGAAAAACACCATGAGAGGCATCACCAGAAACACGCTGAGGGTAAGCACCATGAAAGCCATCACCAAAAACAGGCTGAAGTAAAACACCACGACAGCCATCATAAACATGCTGAGGTTAAGCATCATGAAGGCCATAAAATCCATCACCAAGAAAAAAGTCATCACCAAAAACACGCTCATGAAAAACATCATGAAACACATGGCTTTAAAGAGAAGTCTCACCATCAACAACACCACTTGAAGGAAAAAGAACACCACGCACATCAAGAGAGACAACATACATAAACATTAGTCAAAGTGATATATTTATATACGCAATAACATATATTTTAATTATTAATATAAAATAAACGATGCATATTATTTAGTAGATATGGAAGACTTGTATATATATATATATATATATATATATATATATATATATATATATATATATATATATATATATATATATAATTTAATAAATTGTTTGAATACTTACATTCGTTTAACATGTTTTATTTAAAAAGATAAAAAAGATGTTATTGTTATAGTATTCAGGAAATACTGAAAAGGATTTCGAACATAAATTGGGAGAAAGAGATAAACTCGTTAAAAAGATTTACCATTACAAAGTTACCAAAGATCACTGTGGATAATGAAATCAATGAATATTTAAATGAATTTTATGTTGATGCCAGTGAATGCTAAATGCTTTAACTGATTATTAGAAAGATATCAGGATAACTAAATATTGTGTGGAACATAATATTTTTTATTTTTCGCAGAACTGAGAGGCATTCTGAAAGAATTAAAATGTCTGTTGCCGGGCTTTTTAATAAAATATGAAGCCTACACTTTTGTTCATTTTGTATAAAAGTTAATTTTTAAAGTTCAAAGACCAATTTTAAAATGTTCTAATATAAATTTTAAGTCAAACTGTTTTTCAATGGGTATATAATTTATCGATGAAAATAATGAAAATATTCTTAGACGATGTTTTTATTTTTAGTTTATTAGGTGTTTTTTCAATTTTTTTTATTTTTGATGATTTGATCGAAAAAAAAGTGACAACAACGGTTGATGTCAATAAAGCAATATCCAAAAGAATGCAAGTCGAAAGTAAAATTATGTAACTACCACTACTAACATAGCGATAATTGTCTTTTTTATAGTATTTTTTCTTAGCACATTTTTTTGCAACCTGTTTCTTATTTAGAAAACTAATTCTTGTCCCTGGTTTCCTTGTGTTGTAAGCGAGGCTATCGAAAAAATGTTTGGCAGCATTACCACAAAACTGCTTAAGGTGTTATAAGTCCTTCCATTTTTCCAAACTAATTGGCAACAAGTCTGAAAGACAAAATATTGAAGAAAAGTGGGTATAAATAAGAATTTATTACCTGTATAACTTTAGTTGGGTAAAAAAATTCTTGTGTTCCTTACATATTATCAGTTGGTAAAATAGTGTTGGCACTAACCACATGTTTCAACAGGCCCATTGTAGCTTGTTCTAGATGAAATATATATTGAGGATGAATGACTTTACAAACTATTTCTTGAATACGTCTGATAGCAATTAATGGGCATTTTGTTTTAAAACTGGATGAAAGAGACTGAGTCCATTGGCAAATTGGGGGCTGATCTATTTCCATTACTTTAAATGGTCTAGGTTGTGTGCGTGCTCCTTTAAATTCGTCGAACCAATCTTCACAAACAGTTTCAGCTTTGATCCACTGGTTAATGAGTCAGTCCTATATTGCTGTCACACTCCAAGTATGAATGACCTCTTATTGGAAAAATCATTCTAATTTTATTAAGTCGTCTAGTGGAAATAACTACGTAATGAATCAGTTTAAAGAAGTTATAGTTTTTATTCTGACCCCCACAAGAGTCGCAGAATATACCTAAGTAAATCCATTAAACTAGAGTCTAACTGCAAAAATATAAAATTATACAAAAACGAAATAACTTCGTTACTGATACTTTAGCTACCACTAACTCTGATACTTTAGCTGCGATATTTTCGGGGTAACAATGAAAGTAGGAAGCGCCAGTACACAGCACATGCATATTAAAAGAATATAAAATAAGTTGTCTTCTATAATACACGTCGTTCACGGACGTTCATACTTCGTTTTCTTGCTTCTTTTTTACGGTCATAAAACATTTCAGCTTTCGCAAATGCAATTCATGTTCTATTTCTTTTTTTTTCTCAGTTCTTGAAGAATTTTCGTATCATTTGGCGTCGTTGGATCATTTTCATTTTTCAATAGTGCTGTTTTCTCAGCAGTATATTCATCGCAACTACTGTAGGTATCGCTGCGTGGATATCCAAATAATTTTAAAATTGTTATTAAACATTTTTGCGATAAAACTCATATATCTGGAAGAGATAAAGCCTTATGCATATTGTACATTTTTTTTATTGTTAGATATTCTGGTAACTATACCACTGTAGATTTTTTCTACTCTAGTGGCTCTGTATGCCCCTAAAGGAACTAATATGATCTTTTACAGCCGCAAATGTGATCGAAGGCTTTGCACAATGTACGTGTTTATATTTATCCCTCATATCTGCAAGTGCCTTACCAGTTTTCTTTACTCCTGAATCATTTGTAGACGACGTCCAGTAATGCCATGTAATAAAACAAAAGCTCTCGTGTATCAACCGGACGATGAACTCTTACTTTATAAAAATATGCTTTATCGCGAAACTTGGCATCATTTTAATTTTTTTATGGTATGCGGTTCTTTATTAAAGTTATGGATACAAGACCAGTTAAGTAACTGTTCTGCTCAGCTCTGCTCGATCCTCCGATAGTGGCTGTAAGACGTTGACGTGGGTTCGAGGGCTTAAGCTGACTGTTCAGGTAGGGCTGTAGTCTTGCGCAAGAAATGGAACAAGTATGTGTGTGTGAATGAATGGGATCTCCCTAATAACGAGCTCTCCGTTGAATGAAGGTATTCCCTATAAACGAGCTAGGCCTGGCGAACGGGACGTATGAATGGATGTGAAAGGACCTCGCTAGAGCAGTTCATGCCACCGCTTAGATCTCTGAAATACCTGGGAATTTCTTCCAGATAGTCGAGAGACTAAGTATAGATGAACTGCTTCAGCGACTAAGAAGCAGCCTACCCAAGTTAACAATACCAGGAATCACAGCGTGGAGGATGGCGCTCACCTTCTGCAATGGAATCTTAAGACTGGATAAAGGTCCAGATTGATGTTTCGTTGCGGGAGGAGACAGCCATCTACAGAAACCTGACTGGTATAAACCGTGTCTATTACGTCATAAGACAAACATAGGTGTGGGGTCTTGCCTTAACCGGACGGCCAAGTGGAAGGGAACCACGTTAAAAAATACTCCCAATTTCAAGGTGGAACAGCATAAGCCGAAGAATGAATCTAACTACTATTGTGCGAAATCTGGGGCACCTGGCGAACATCAGTTTTACTAGCCTTACTGTGGCATTTATTTCCCTGTACTGCAGGTGACATTTATTTCCCTAGCTTCTCGTGGGAATCTGTATGGAACCCTATATTAAAGAAAAAGAAGGGATATCTGACTCCCAAAGATCGGACACTGAAATGGAGGTTAGCGACCCTCATGTACAGGACGAAAATAAGCCTGAAAAAACTTACTAGTGGCGACGAGCTTAGACCCTTAAGTCCCGTACACGGGAAAGAAAGGATAAAACTATCTGGTGCCGCAAGAAAAAGGTATAAATACCTTATTAAGAAAGGGTTGACTCCGGAAGAAGCCCGACAAAGAGCAGTTGAAGGAGAAATCTCTGAAAAAAAGGCCCCAAAAGGGTCTGCTCTGAAGAGAACACTCCCGAAGGTCGACAGGCAAAAAAATTAAGGAGTGATGCAGATAAAGGCGACACTGTGCCTAAATCTGCAAAGCCCTCCTTTAGTCAAATGGGTGAAGGTGTTAAAGTGGAAATCCTACCCTCGGAATTCCCACGTTATCTCCTTACAAGGGAACAATTAGAGGCCGTTAAGGAGAAGATCTTAGACAAGATTATTAAGGTCCAGGAAGAAAATGTCGAAAAGCCTAACTTTCTGAGCGCTCAAAACAGACCTGGCTGGTTAGCTGTGATGTGCGTCGACAAAACCACCTTGCAGTGGCTAAAGACATACATTGGAGAGATACAGCCATGGGAGGGTGCCACATTGAGACTTGTACAGAGAACAGAAATTCCTCATACTGAAATCTTTACGGCGTACCTTCCCGGAAGTAAGGATTATTTCACGGAAAAAATTCTAGGTCTAATAGAAGCTTAAAACTCTAGCCTCCATACCTCCGCATTGAGAATACTGAATAGGTCTACGAGTGGAGCCGTGGAAATTCTAACCCTTTCAGTGGACAACCAATCCGCCGAATAGCTAAAATCAACGGTTCATACGATCAATTACAGATAGGTCGTACGGTCCTAAGAGACAAGAGTGGCAGAAATCAACCCACAACAAGCGGATCTCAAAAACCCGTTACGGTGTTTAAGGCCCCGGATGAGCAAAAAAGGGCTCAAGATGAATCCAGGAGGACAGGCAAGCAAAAGCTTGACTTTAAGGAATCAGCTAGCGGGTCTCAAAAACCTACCACGTTGTCTAGGGCCCCGGATGAGCAAAAAAGTGCTCAAGATAAATCCAGGAGCACAGGCAAGCAAAAGACTGACTCCAATGAATCAACTAGTGGCCAAAAAAAATCTGGGAGACCAGACAATAAAGGCAAGGGGACATTAAAATATCCCCAATACAACCTATAAAAATGATTCACAGGCTAAAATGTTTGCATATAAACCTTCAACATTCAAAAACAGCTACCAGTGTGCTTAGAAAAAGGTTTATTTACGATAGCCTAGCCATTGGCCTCCTACAGGAGCCTTGGATTAATGGAGGACGAATACAAGGACTCAACATAAAATCAGGTAGGTTACTCTATAATATCAATACTGACAATCCAAGAGCAGCATTACTGCTCTCACATAATATTAAATATACTTCTGTTCCAGAATTTACCACGGCAGATTTGGTAACCGCAATAGTGGAAATGCCAACAGAAGTGGGCAAGAGGCAAATTGTTATTGCTTCAGCCTATTTTCCGGGTGACTCTAAAAAACCATCCACCTCCATAGGAAGTTCAAAGACTTATCGGAAGATTCAAGAGCAAGAACAGACAATTAATTATTGGCTAGTACGCAAATGCGCACCACACAGTATGGGGAAGCACAGGAATCAATAACAGGGGTGAGCACCTCCTGGACTATATATCTGCTAATAACTTAGATATTGCAAACAGAGGTGACAAACCCACATTTATAAATGCAATTAGGAAAGTGGTATTTGATATAACCATAACTAGTTCATTTATAGCAAATAAAATATA